TTCAAGTTAGCAAACAGCAGACACTGCAATGGTGAAGTGAAAGATGGTGGGTAGGTTTCTAGATCATTCTGAGTTGCTTCCACTTCCTCTGGGCTGCTCCACATGAGAAGATTATGTTTAAAAGCGCCAACATAGCCTCAGACTTGCTGTTGCTGCACATGTAGCAAAATAAGCATGAGGTGAATATGTGAAACTAAAGCAAAACAAATTTTACAAGACTCGAGTGTCTAGAAAATGTTTTTTGTAGTAAGTGCTTCAGTGCAAACATAATCTGTACATTAAACTTGTAGCCATGGCAAATGAGCTGCAATAGCAAAGTGGGTTTTTTTTATATGTTAGGTAATCGAGGAAATGTCAGCTTATAGTCATAGAACTTTTTTATTTCGGGTATTCAATGCATAGTGTGCTCAGAGAGAACTACAAAATCAAATGGAAACTAAAAAAAATCAATTTTCCATACTCCTGCAATTGCTACCCTTTCTTGAGGCCTATCCAGAAACAATATCTTACTACACAAAGTAAAAGAACAGCCATAGCCAGTTTGGCTCAGTGGATAGAGCGTCTGCCTGTGGGCTAAAGGGTCCCAGGTTCGATTCTGGCCTGGGACACATGCCTGGGTTACAGGCTTGATCCGCCCAGTGGTGGGCATGAAGGAGGCAGCCTATCAATGATTCTCTCATTATTGATGTTTCTATCTATCTCTCTTCCTTCCTCTCTGAAATCAGTAAAAAAAATATATTTTAAAAAAAAGTAAAAGAATACCTAGAAAGAGTTAGGACAGTGGTCGGCAAACTGCGGCTTGCGAGCCACATGCGGCTCTTTGGCCCCTTGAGTGTGGCTCTTCCACAAAATACGGGCACGCACGTACAGTGCATTGAAACTTTCATGGCCCATGCGCAGAAGTCGGTATTTTATACGGGCACGCACGTACAGTGCGATTGAAACTTCATGGCCCATGCGCAGAAGTCGGTATTTTGTGGAAGAGCCACACTCAAGGGGCCAAAGAGCCGCATGTGGCTCGGGAGCCGCAGTTTGCCGACCACCGATTAGGACAGTGATGGCGAACCTTTTGAGCTCAGTGTGTCAGCATTTTGAAAAACCCTAACTTAACTCTGGTGCCGTATCACATATAAAAATTTTTTGTTATTTGCAACCATAGTAAAACAAAGACTTATATTTTTGATATTTATTTTATATATTTAAATGCCATTTAACAAAGAAAAATCAACCAAAAAAATGAGTGTCATAGGTTCACCATCACTGGATTAGGAGATGGATGTGTTAAAACTGAGGAAGTGTGGGGAAGAGCAGCCAAGCCAGCATTTACGCTGACAAACCCCAGGGCCACCCCTTAGTTATCTTGTGCTGCTTGCTGGGCCCCCTTGGCTCCAGGGGCTGCCAGAGTCTATTGCCTTCCGGCTGTGTTTGCACTTTCGGGATACGTATTTGGAAGCTGCAAAGTAATCCTCCTTTTTCTTGTAAAACTGACCCAAGGACATCAAGAGAGAGAGGAGACATAGTCCCGCTGTTATGCAACTGGAGAAAACTGAACCTTGAAATGGAATGAAAGTTGAAATAACACATGTCGTGCCCATACCCAGCCAGTCACAGCACGGAGGGGGCAGAGGGACAGGAATTGCGGACTGCAGTGGTGTGTGATCGGGGCCAAGCTCTGCACCACTCAGCACAGCTCACCAGCTACGCAGGCGATGGTCACACACAATCACCAGCTTCGCTGATGGGCTAAACTATTTTGTGGGATGAGAGGAAGAATAAACATTTTATTGATTGATTGATTTGGGGGAGAGGGGTATCTGGTTTGTGTTTTAGGGGAGGATCTAAGTTCCCATGTAGGGTCTCATATGTTTCTGGGTTTCTGAAAGCCTGTTTAGGGTTATCTGATGGCTTCGGAATGAAGGTGTATGGTATTTTGGGGTGATCTGGCATGCTTTTCAGATTCTGAATGTTAGTGTTGGGGATCTAACAGACCTAGGTGGGTGTCTGAACACTTTTCTGGTGCCTGAAAGCATGCTGGGGGTGTCTTATGGCACCTGCGTGGGTGTCTGGCATGTGTTTGGGATTCCTACGGGTTGGGTGTCTGGCGACATGTGTTTGGGATACCTGGGGGTACCTACGTTGAGGTGTGTGGGACCACCTGAGACATACAGAAGGACTTTTTTCCAGACTTTTAGTCAATTCTGCCTGTAGCCAACAGTGCCCCTTCTTCATAGGTGACAAATCTCTTCTCTTCATTTCCTGTATCCTCCACTCTCCAACTTCTTGCCCCCAACTCGCCTTCAAGGCCGCCAAGGTCCCCAGGCGCCCGCTGACCACACATCTCCCTGCACCCATTCCCCCAAAATAGCCCCCAGCCCCACTGTCCTCCCCACACAGAATCCAGCCCCGATGACCACCTGAGCTGACTCCTGTCCCGCTGACCCACCCTGAAGTGAAATTTAAGGGGCTTCTCCTCAAGGCCCTGCCCATCCCAGGACCACACCCTCTAACCCGCCCTGGAGAATCCTATATAATAAAGAGCTAATATGTAAATGGTCGTCACACCCTCACGCCCTTGCGCCCTCATGTCTTCGCCCTCTTGCCTGAACTGCTCAGACACTCAACACTGGGGAGAGAGGAATGGGAACCAGCCAGGCTGCAGCCTGGGAGAGGGACAAGCCACCTGCCCCACAGTCCCAGACGCCAGCACCTGCGGCTGTGGCCCAGGAGAGGGACAAGCTGCCCACCCCGCAGTCCTGAGTGCCTGCGGCTGCAGCCCGGACAAAGCCACCCACCCACGGTCCCCTGCGGCTGCAGCTGGCCCGGGCAAAGCTGGCCTGGGTTCCGGGTGCCTGAGACTGGGCAGAGGAGGGAATCCTGGGTCCTGGGTGCAGGGCAAGGCAGAGGTGGTTAGGGGCAATCAGGCCAGCAGGGGAGCAGTTAGGGGCAATCAGGCTGGTAGGGGAGCAGTTAGGGGTGATCAGGCAGGCAGACAGAGGGTTTAGGGACGATCAGGCAGGCAGGCAGTGCAAGCAGTTAGGAGCCAGTGGTCCTGGATTGCGAGAGGCAGTCGGACATCCTCCAAGGGGTCCCGCACTGGAGACATTGCAGGCTGGGCTGAGGGACCCACCCCCACCCCCACCCCATACACGAATTTCCTGCACCGGGCCTCTAGTGTGTTTTATATCTTTCCTTAACACCTACTCTGATAAATGGTTTCCTGACAATATCATTTATGGATGTCCTAGATTGGTCCTTCCTATTAGAACCAACCCTGATGGGGGTTGTAAAGTTTGTCTCCAGCCCTCTTTGATAGGCCAGAGCTTTCATCTTCCCTGTTTTCCTCCTTTGCTTCCAGAAGCCCAGAGCTCTAGGTTTCCATCCTACCCGCAGTGCGCAAGGGACCAAATGGCATTCCTGTCCTCAGGGCCCACACTCTCCACACTTTTAATACCTTTCTTTTCATCCAAGTGGATTTTTTTTTGGGGGGGGGGGAGATTTTTTAATCCTCACCCAAGGAGTGAGGATATTTTGTCCATTGAATTTTAGAGAGAGTGGAAGGGTGGGGGGAGGAAGAGAGAAAGAGTGAGAGAAACATTAAGAGAGAAGCATCAATTTGTTGCCTCCCAGCTGCTGCCCTACCAGCCCGGGATTGAACTTGTAACCAAGGTACATGCCCTTGGCCTGAGAATCAAGCTCACACTCCTTCAGTCAGCAGGATGATGCTCTAACCACTGAGTAACTGGTCAGGGCCAAAGTAGTTTTTTTTGTTTTTGTTTTTGTTTTTGCTCTAACCCCTGAGAGCTTTGCTAGCTAAGTTAGCTTACAACTTTACAGCCAATGTGGTCAAGAGTGATCTTCCACTCACTAGCATAAACCTAGCACTTTAAAGAGCACGGGCACCTAACTTCAGAAGTGCTATGACAACGGCATGACTGTTGAAACTTGAAGGAAAAATAAATATTATTATGGCACCGGGATCTGCATATTCTCTCCCAGAGAAAACCACTGCTGAGTTCAGCGGTCGATTCAAATGGCTTTTCTTCCTTCTTTTATAAAGAGAAAAATCTGATTTGCTCTTGCGAATGAGCACTCCACATCCTTGTGGATTTAATAATGACAGAGTCAAGCAGGATACTGGGCCACAAGAGAGATGGGGGCAACGGAGAGGTGAAGAGGAGGAGCCCAAAAGTGACGGCTGGAACACGGGCTTCAAATCCTGCCCTTCCCTCAACGCAGGTTTAAGATGCAGGGTGAGTCCCTTCACCTCTTGAATCCTCAGTTCCCTCTTCTGGAAAATCAGGGAGAGGATTTAATGTGCCTTAAGCTTAGGGTACACAGAGGGTTTCCATGAGGATGAAATGAGATCGTGGATACAGAACACAACATAGTATCTGTCACAGGTCAGTTGTCCAACAAGTGTTAGCTGTTATTGTTATTGCCTTTTTGACCCTTATCATCTATTCAGCTCTCTTTTTCAAATAAATTGCTTAAAACACTTGTCTTTTATTTTTCACTGCAAATGAAAGAAATAAAAGTAGTTGACCAGTAATAGCATGTGTGATAAATATGCACACTTCTCTCACATTTACAGACAATCTATGAATCACGCTGAAGCTGGCTTCTGGAAACAATTCCCAGCACATTCCACTTGCAGTCAGATGAATTGGCAATTTTCTTAAAATATGAGCAGTTCGGCGCTGGGCAGAACATGTATTCAGGCTCATAAACATAAACATGTTTTATGCAGCGTTTAAACATGAACTATGCAACTCCAAAATGCTACAAAAACACAAACAAAATAATTTCAAGAATAAAGACCTAAAGCTAAAGAAACATTGAGAGGAAGTAGAAAAGGAGCCAAGTTTTCTATAAGGCAAGAAAGCTGATCAGGGAGAGAAATTCGTGTTTCTGAATTCTTTTAGAGGAAGAGAGTAGCACATTCCAGAAACTACTTAACATTCGACGCCAAGCCACTTTGGTAATTACTTTCATATTCTGACCTTTTCCTAGGAGCTCCAGCCCAAGGTCAGGACCGGACCTCTCTTCAGTGATGACCACTGTGTAACCGAGCTGAGCGAGAATGTGCTGGTGGACCCGGAGCTCCACTGTGCTGTAGGAGGGAGGCCTGTAGAGTATGGCCCTTCTGCCATGGCTGCCAAAGTGGGTCTCCATGGATTCTTCCATCTGAAAAAGAAAGGAGGCATAAAAACTCAAGAGGAAGCAGCATCTTTCTCTTGAAGGACATCACTCATGCAAATCAAGGACCATTCGGAAAGTTCTCTTTTAAGTTTTTTCTCTAGACATGAAAGACATATTCTCTGAAAGGCTGACAAGGACAGAGACAACCTCATGTGCAAGAACTGAAGGTGCACTGCATTTTTCTCACTATTACAGAAAGTTGAAATTTGGGGGCCATTAACATACAGAGCTCCTAGAGCAGTGGTTCTCAACCTTCTTAATGCTGCAACCCTTATTACAGTTCCTCATGTTGTGGTGACCCCCAACCATAAAATTATTTGCGTTGCTACTTCATAACTGTAATTTTGCTACTATTAGGAATCATAATAATATCATCTGATATGCAGGATGTATTTTCATTGTTACAAATTCAACATAATTAAACCATAGTGATTAATCACAAAACAATATGTAATTATATATGTGTTTTCTGATGGTCTTAGGCGACCCCTTGAAAGGGTCATTCGACCCCCAAAGGGGTCGCGACCCACAGGTTGAGAACCGCTGTCCTAGAGGAATACTGTGGTGCAGAAATACAGAGCGCAACTCTGGCAGAAAATGGAAATGAATAGCAATGCCTGTCATCTGCATCGTGCTTTTATAAAGTAGTTCCAGCTGCATTATCTTATAACAGTTCTTCTGGGTAAACAGGGTGGAGGAAACGGACTCCGAGAGAGGCTGGGTTTTGTTCTGGAAGGAATTGTTCAGGAAGTGCTACAGCTGGGAAGCAATCCCAGAGCCCGTTGGAGACATATGTTGCTACAGCTTCTCTCAGGATGCAGCAAAACTTGAATGCATCTCAGTGAGACTGGGTGGGTCTTTGTGTGAGGAGAGCTAGCAAAGTGTCATAATCTTAGGTTATCCCTCCAACAGTTTTTTGTCCTCCAAATAAACTTTCCTCGTTCTCACAAGAATGTTTGGAAATGCCATTAACAAAAGCGAGTTTTCTCCTTGACAAGTAGAAAGAATGACGATATTTTAATAATGTTTTTAAAATACATTTTTATTGGTTTCTGAGAGGAAAGGAGAGGGAGAGAGAAATAGAAACATCAACGATGAGAGAGAATCATCTGAAAATTACTAGCCAATGCATGGTGGAGTGCAAGAGAACAGAAACGCCGGGGCCAGGCTGCTGGGTTTGAATCCGCTGGCTCCACTAGCACCATGTGTGTGACCTTGGACAATACCTTCCTGCCAAGGGTGCTGTGAGGATTAAGGAGTTAATATTTGTAAAGTGCTTAGAACTGTGCCTGGCATACAAGAAGTACTAGATATGTGTTTTAAAAATAAAACAATATACCGTATCACAAAGATCAGAGAGTCAGGAAAAACGCTTCTGATTCTGCTCTCCGCCTGCCCCATACATACGTGCGATGAATATAATGGAAAGGAATAGAACACTACCTAACCACACTCTCTGTGCATGGCACTTTGGCAAAACATGACTGATGAAAGGATATCACATTTATTGGAAACGAAATTATTTGAACTCAAGAGTTTAACTGCAAATTGGGATGTGCTTCCCCCCACCACCACCACCACCAAAAAAAAAATCTGGTTCTAGTTTGCAATGATAAACTTCTAAGAAGGAGTACTTGAACCTCAATACAGTTTGAACCTTTGGACACAGGAGTTAGAGGGACCCGGTAGCACAGAGGAGGCCAAAATAAGCAGACATGCACCGAGGTGGAAGGGAAGACAGATGCTTCCAAATATATCGGCGTCACTCAGGCAAAGTGCAGTGTCCAGGATTCCCTTCTCGTATTTTCTTTCGTAATCCCAGGATGTGTTTCTCTATTACAGCCGGTTCAAGTATAGCAGTGATTTCACGTAAAGAGATTGTACTTTCAAACTTGAAGTTATTATTTAGGAAGATGCCATTCCTCCCCCCGCCCCCAATCAGGATCAGTTTAAGCAAAACAGAGGTAACTCTTACCAATATACCTTATAGAGAACATATTCTAAATAAAATATAATGACTGGCCATTTTTGTAATAACCTGGACACAGGCTGAAATTTTAACTCAGGTCTCTGACCACAGGACCAAATAGGAAATGAGCTTGTCAGTCAGATTATGTTGTATTATTCTGTCCTACAAACCGCCCTGTCCTTGCAATATTTATAACACCCTGTATCAGCAGAATGGCCCAATACCAAGGAATGAGAACGGTTTTAGCCAGTCTGACAACAGGTGCACGCACTGCGTATGTGAAATGAAAACTATGCTAACAGCATGTCAACCGCACCAGCAAATGCGGGATTAGCAAACGCCAGGAGCAGCACTTTTAGAAATAAAAGCTCCTGATTACTCAGACACTTTTAAAGATATATATTTAGTGGAAAAATACATTCAACCTGGGCACCACTACAACTAAACTTGAGACTTGCAAAGCCTCAATATCTAATTGAGAAGTTAGATATTCTACTCTAATGACACTCTAATCCCGAAATCACTTCCCTCTCTCACTTCTTGAGAGATCAGCAGAAAAGGCCCTCAGAAATCATTCTGCTAGACGACATGAAAGTTGTTTTATTAACTGAACACATTTTTATTGGCAGGACTTCCAAATCTGAAACCTTTATACCACTTCGATAAAGCAAAGGATAGAGTGTTGTAATAAACGAGCTGGAGTGTTACATGAAGCAGGGTAGAGTAAGACTGGAGAAGCACTGGGAAATCCAGAATCCGGATGTGAATTCCGGCTGTGCTAGTCGCTGGCTTCATCCACTGGGGCGAGTTATTACTGAATCTCTCTTCATCAGGGTTTTTCTTATGTGTAGTAACAAATCCTACCTCAGAGGTTATACTGGGAATTAAATAAATTTTCTAAGTTAAAGTGTGTAATATAGTGGTGTCCTATCAATAAATGATGTTAAATAGATGAATGAAGTTGATTAATAATGTTATATTGTAACTCTGCTTTTATAATAGGAATTCTAGAAATTTTTCAATTAATATAGTTTGGTCTCTGTCAAAAAAAAAAAACAATTCTAAAATAAACTATGTATTTCAAGATGCCGGGTTATGTATTTCTTTGTAGTACTCATTATCTTTTAATGCAAACATATAATTTATTTATTTACTGTGTTTATTTTCTGTCTCCACACACCATAAAGGAAGGTAAATGAAAGCATATATTTGTGTCTGTTTTATTCACTTTTGTTTTCTCAACCTAAGAATAGTATTTGGAATGTAATGGGCACATAATACATATTCTTTGAGTGAATGAATGAATGAATGCAAACATCCTTTTTCTCAATATGTAAAATCTTTGTTATAAATACTACTATAGAATTTTTGGAATAGAAAAGGGACAAATGTATTAAGAAATTTACTTCAGTAGAATTGTGAATAGTAGCTACAATGACAAAAATAGAGTTAAATATTTGAGCAAAATAATAAATTTCAGTAAAAGTGAATAAAAAGTTATATTATGAAAGTACTATATTTCTCAGATACTTACACTATTAAAAAGTTTTCTCCAACACTCACCAGAAAACCAAGAAATACTGCCCTTTAAAATATAGTAGGAATCAAAAATAAAACTTTTTTTCCTAAACAACAGAAAGATTATTTCTGGATTTATTAAGTAGCCATGTATTTATGACATATTTTGGTGCTTCTACAAATATATACTAGACCTAGGATGTGTGTCATATATAACTAAAAGTCAAATTGCTTTGCTGGTCTAGATTTTTGGCATTTTAGAAATATTGCAGAGCCTATTATTGTGAATTATGTTTTAATTTTTCCTACTATAAGAATAAAATATTTTTTCAATTGATGAAATATACACTTCTTTTAGGTAATTCGAGAAATAAAATGGATAAAGTTTGCTAGGATGTACAACTTACACATTTTCTACTGAAAATGTATTTATAGCTGCAGGATGGTTTAGGAGCCACAGGTTCCCTGGAAACACAAGCAGAGTCTCTGGAGAATGCTCCTCACCTAAATGGACCTTTAGTGAACCTCTGCCTTCGATCTCACAGCTGATGCAACTGAATTTCAAGCCCATCATGGAAGGACCATCCAGTTCTCAGAACTACTTCATCCCCATAACACGGAGCACCATCTGACTGTACTTCCAAACTGTACATTAGGGCTATCTCAACACTCAACACCCAGTGAAAGGCAAGTTTGCTCATCTGTGGCTCTACATAAGTTCTAAACAAATAATAAGGAAACAAAAGCAATAACATCTATACTAATAAAAGGGTAATATGCTAATTAGGGTGGACGTCTTCCAGATGTCCTTCTGGACAAAGCCACAGTGGCTGCCCAACGCTCAGGCAAGCCACGGATAGCGGCTGCCGCTGCCAGGGCCAGCCCGAGGCCCAGGAAGGCTGCAGATGGTGGCTGCTGCTGTGAGGGCCCAAGGCTCAGGCAGCCACAGCAGCTGGCAGTGGCAGCAGCAGAGGCATGATGGGGGCATCACCTTCCCCTGATCGGCTGGTTGCCTCCCACAGAGGGAGGCCAGATGTCCTAAGCCATCAGTAGGACATCTCCTGAGAGCTCCGGGACTGTGAGAGGGGGCAGTCCGGGCTGAGGGACCCCCTCCAGTGCACGAATTTTCATGCACCAGGCCTCTAGTCTATATATATAAAAGCCTAATCTACCATTAAACCGATAGCTATGATGCGCACTGACCACCAGGGGGCAGATGCTCAGCGCATAGGCATGGAAACATGGAACAGACTGATGAATCTCAGAGGGAAGGGGGGAGGGGGGAGGGTGGGAAGAGATTAACCAAAGATCTTATATGCATACTAGAGGCCCGGTGCATGAATTTGTGCACCAGTGGGGTCCCTTAGCCTGGCCTGCAGGGACTGGGCCGAATCTGTGCACTGGGCCTCCAACATCTCCTGAGGGGTCCTGGACCGCAAGAGGGTGGTGAAAAATCCACTAGAAAATCTCAGTGGAGGCTTTGACATCTGCATCTCAA